GACAGCCACCGCCCTCGCCACTCCGCGCCGCCCGGCTCCCCGCCCCGGCCTGCCGCATAAATACGTGGTTTATCCTGAGAAGTGTGTGGGGTTTTTTTAAGGAGCAAAGGCATTACGTTAGGTTAGAGAGGCCAGAGACACGTCAGCCTTGCGCTGGAACTTCGGCAGGGAAGCAGCAACCATGGCTGTGCCAACGAAGCTAAGGTAACAAAACCGGCCTTATTAAAACATTTGGTGCTAAATGTGAGGAAGTGTCCTCCTCGCTTGCCCTGCTGCCTCCCAGCAGGAGTCATCCCCGTGGTCTCTGTCCTCTCTCTTTGCTGCAGCAATACCTCCTAACTGCATGGGACAGATTGACCTTCATCTACTCCTTACTGAACACTGGTTCCTACAGTGATTAATTGTCTTTACTTGTCTCCATAACTTCACAAAATCTGCAAAGCTATAGTAAGCCAAAGCAAGTGGTAAAGGGCTTAACTACATCTGTATCTTATCACGTTTGAACCTACTTTAAGTCGTAACCTCAAGAAACTGTGATACTTCCTCAGATCCTGATGCTACTAGTTAAATAAAGCTCAAGGACATTCGCTGTTCACATAGATGTCACACTACCCAAGTTCCTCCCAGCAGATCGTCTTCCAGGACATGCAAATCAAGAACATTACCTACTTTAAGTGACCAATGTCTCTTCTTTCAGATGACTGCATTAGGAACGACCTAAGCAAAGCCAAGTCATGCTTCATGGTCAGCTTCAGTAATCAAGCTTGTAATGTGTTGTTTCTCAAAAATGAACAGTGTTTGTCCACTTTATTCCCCCTTGACCCCACTTTATGCAGTGAGCTGTTTTACAAAATACAAAGCTATAATCATAAATCTAAAAAATTGTACTTTTTGAAAATGACCACAAACCATATAATTTGATACCCCATTACACCAGTATCCCTCACTCCTCAAGTGAGAGAAATACATCTCAAAATTACTACTTCCTTAAATTCCAAGGATTGTGAAGAGAAAAATTAGTTCTCTGATGATTAAAGGTTCCCTTTAAAGAGATAAAAATTTAGTTACTATTGTAGACCTGCAGCTATCCAAGTAGGGCAATTATTTTCTTCGGTGTAGGATTAAGGCGCTTAGAAAGCCCCACCTTCCCCATTAAAGCAGCGCAATAGCGAGGTCTACCTGCCTGCCACTAAGTAAGTTATCTAATACTCTAAAGCCCAAGTTCAAAATATTTTGCATATTTTTTCCAAATTATACTATGTCCCATGAACTTTGATTCTCTGTAGGGCTTCAGTACATCAGGGAGCTTAAGACAGTTCTTACCAGTGTAAAAACCGTTTTTCTCAACTACCAACTTGGCATCTCATTAAAGTGTCTGACAATAAACCATCAGGCTATGGTATAGCCCTACCCCTCTAGTTTCACACAAAGCATAGAGCAAGTGAATGTTGCCACAGAGATGCTTACAGGGGCTATGAGGTCATCCCCTCGTGACAGCCTGAGGGGAGTACTCACAGGGAAGGCACAACTGATGGTCATTTTGAAGCTCTGTCACAAAAGGAGACCATTTACTGATGTATGGTGCTACACAGCCTAGCCATGGCCTTCTCATCTTTCTCAGGGCATGCTTCTATTTCTTCTCCAAAAATGCCACCATTTAATAATAATTAAATCACACAATATTTTACCAATTCTAACAGTTTACATTCCCAAAAGCACTTACTGAGGCAACCTGGTACTGGTGCTAACTTTGTGTTGCCACCCGTTTATAATGTTGTTGTTAACAACATGAAGTAAAACCAACCCTGGTTCTGAAGTACACACTTTAGTAAGAACACCTCGTGTGGTCACAGTTGTCCGTCCTCCTAAAGGGGTGAGGGGAAGTAGGCAAAAAAAACCCCTAACACTGATATCAAACATCAGGTATCTGAAAGGCAGCTTTCCTTACTCAGAGCACAGGAGTTTCCATGCAATCCACAGAACAGTCACTCCACTTAAATCATTAAACCACAGGAAAAGATAGAAGAGACCCTTTTTTCACGTCCCTTCACCACCTGTAAAATAGGAGTAAAATTCTGCAGAGGTGGAAGTTGTTCAATTATTAAGGAAAAAAAAAAAAAAGCCCAAACCAAAAAACAAACCACACTTCCTAAACCTTAAAACATTTTTTCATTTTTTTGTTTGCTTCATTGTTACCATTTGGGGAGTAAGGTAGCATAGAATAATAGAACCATAGAATTGTTAGAGCTGGAAAAGACCTCCAAGATCATCAAGTCTGACCCTCGACCCAACACTGCCATGACCAATAAACGATGTCCTGAAGTACCACAGCCACATGTTTTTTGAACCCCTCCAGGGATGGTGACTCCACCACCTCCCTGGGCAGCCTGTTCCAACGCCTCACCAATCTACATCTCCTCTGGTGCAACTTAACCCATTTCCTCTCGTCCTATGGCTATTTACTTGGGAGAAGAGACCAACCCCTACCTCACTACAACCTCCTTTCAGGGAGCTGTAGAGAGCAGTAAGGTCTCCCCTCAGCATGGCTTGTTTGAAATTGCTTTGATCTCAACTACCTTCCATAGCAAATTCTTTGCTAATCAACTGTTTGTAGCAGAGGAGGCAACAAAGCTACTGCAGTTCATCCCAATCATTTTCTGATGCAATACCTAGCTGCATTTTTTCCTATACAAAATTCCTTTAAACACATGGCATTAAAAACTGACTGAAGTGTATGAATATTCAACTAACATTCTGCTTTTCCAAATGATTCTGAAAGCTTCAAAACCTAGCAACATAAAGTCTCCATTTTCAGTTCCTAGTTGTTCATTTTCTCTAGAAGAAAAATCAGAGCATGGATTGGTTTTCAGAGCAAAACACTCAAAAAGTGATCTCGGACTAAGTCTTAATGAACCGTTTGGACACATCTTTTATTTCTGACATTAGGAAATAAAACTTCATTTATGGCATGCTTCAGTTCTTATTTACCTAGTAATAACATAAAACATCAGAAGACAGACAGTGGAAAGACAGATCCATTAGCTTATAGGCTACTTTCTACAGACTAACTCATACTCCATATGGCTGTGCTAAGACAGAACCTGCCAGGCTGCTGCCACACGTGCAGAGCCCTATGAACAAGCAGAGTGGTTCAGCTACTGCTCCCAGTTTGTTATCAACATTTTAACAACCAGACAGCTTTTAAAAGTAAAATCTGCAAACAGTAAATAGCTGCAGACCAATTATTGCTGCTGAAAAATATACGTTTCTTTTGCAGTAATTTTTATATTTCTATATAACCTGAGCGACTCTACACATGTAACAAATGTCTTGATGCATCCACTCACACAGAGTAATATTCAAGCATCTAGTTCTGCGCCTCTAAAAGTTGTGATGTGTTAATTAAGTGCTCTTTTAATTGCTGCACCTTGAGTTAATCTTGCGAGTGGAAAATCCTTCAGCACAATGCAGGGGATAAAGTTCATGACATCTTCTCATTTTGCTTTGTAACTCTTGTTGATTTTTTATTGATGGTGATAAATGCATTTAGTTTTCAGTGAGATTAGTTCCATTATTTCTAACAATATCTCAGGGCTGAAAAAGTGCAATTTCTAGGGCTGTGAAAATAACCCAACTAACAGAAAACAAGTCCCACAGACACAAAGACAAAGAGGGTCAGGAGCAGAGATGCTCAAAGTAGATCACAGTCCACTCCTGAAATGGAAGATCATTCTGCCTCTTTGGGTAAGTACATGATCTTTTACACCAGGTAAAACTATTTGAACAATATTCTAAAGTGAAAAGAAATATCTTTCCACTCCAATTTAAGTTCTGTAAAAGAAGGTCTAACATGAATTCATCATGGTTGTATGTGGATAATTCTGTTTCCTCGACAACAAAATACTGAAATCTTGGTTTTATGCAAATAAACAAGCTATGATTAAAAAGACACACAGACACCTTCCCCCAAAACAGTGGCCTTCAAATTTTATTCTTTCGCCTTTTTCAAGCTGTCATCGTAACTTTACATTTTGTACAGTATTTTGTGTACAAAGATTCCATGTATCAAGGGAGAGAATTACCAGTAATAAGATTCCATGTATTACAATATTAGGACCGTTGCATTTGCACCCATGATATTTTAAAAAATCTCTCAGACAAACCATGTAGAAATAAGTATGCAAAAACTGCAAACAAAAACGTTTAAGTAGCCAAAATTAAAAAGACCTTTGTGTGAATCACACAGTCTTGCTCGGTTTCTACTAGGCTATTGCAGCCAAGTAGTCCTTAACCTCAGTGGGAGTGAGCCTCCTAAAACCAGCTTCGTTACAGATGCCAACTTCAATGTTGTCTTCTGTCATTTGCCCTTCGAAGCTCTCCTGTTAAAGAAAGTATAGTTCAGTGAATCATACCAGTGATGTCACCACAATAAGAAACTTGTTTCTTAAGTATTTTGCTAACCTTTAGTGTTAAGATAGCTGTATGAATGGCATCTTCAAGCTCCAAATCTTCATTGTATCTGCAAAGAGAAATCCAAGTATTTCAGCACAGGACAAAGACCTTTCCAAATGCTAATAATCCTGGAGTCTCTAAAAACTCAAACACGCCTAAAATCTTCCTATTTCTCATACAAATATTATTTGTCAGAACTGTGATATTAATAGTCAGTTATAATTTATTTTACATGTTACTATTTTCCCTACTCACAAGACACAGAACAGTATTTCGAGAAATGTTAAATATTATGTTTATCGCACTAAAATAATTCCCCACAAACATAAACTGGAGTTTAAGCAGAGCAAATTTCCCAGGCACGTGTAAATAAGTAAACGGGAAGCATCCTATCTTAAGTATTTAAAAACTTTGTTCTGATAATCTAAAAGTGTGCATTTTTTCTCTGGCTGTTTTACTGGAACCTGAACAAAGCACACTGTGTCCTTTCAGATGAGTATCAAAGACGTTACCTCTTCTCAAGGAATGTCTTCCCATTGACATAATTCTTTCCCATTGCCGTTGCTTTCCACGCAAAATAAGCCCCCTGTAAAAGCAACCATCTATGGAACCGTTTCGTATCACTCAGTCCAACATCACATATTCAATTCCTTGGCAAAAAGTACATTTGGGGAAGTACTGAATGTTCTGAGAATACAGGAGACTATTTTGGATCACATTTAGATTTATTTCAAATGGCAATATATGCTGTGAAAACATACAAAACATTCGTATAGGGCCCCACCTATTTTTGTCCTCCCACTACTTTGAAAGATGAATTTAATAAGTCATCAGCAAAATTTTGATTTTGGATTCCTTAAACAGAAATAGGTTTGCCCTCGAGAATGAGTACAGTCAGATCTTGCCTGTGGTTCACTCCACATATTTTCTTCTTTAAGTCATGTGTCTGATTTTCAACAAATAGTTTACGTGATTTATCTTAGCTGCTATAGGATATTTAGGCATCACTCCTCTCCTCTGGCCTGCATCAACATTCAAGTGCCTCAATCAAGCTGTACTGCACAAGGCATCTCCATTTTGCTTTTTGCATTTCAGCTTCAGTTAGCAAATCCAATTTCTGAAGCTTACCAATTATCACTACAGCAACCACGTTTTTGTCTGACATAAAGCGTTACAATTCACACGTGCATCACACGGTAGTTTTTCAGGAGTGCAGTGCAAACACAGCAAATAACCTCACCTAAATTAACCATTAAATACTAAAGCATATGCATTCTATTTCACAGTGTAACAGATTTTGGCTTAACTTCCACCCAGTTTAGGGAAAAACTATTTTGAGCAGCATAAGCAGTCAAAATTTTCCTTTTCCTGGCACCTGCTGCAGAATGCTATTCTTGCTGTCACTACCAATTAGCTGGGAGGGCATGAAAAGTGACAGTGACCTCCCTCAAAACCAGCTGCTGTCCCTCAAGCACTAGAGGGACATGTAGGCACAGAATGATCCAGGCTTGCTCTGAGCACCTACTTCAGCGGCTCCTTACGACTTCTGAAGTTAAGTTAAGGGCTCCTTTGTTCTAGCTCTGCATTCTTCTTCTCATCACAAGAAGTATTTCCTGAGCGCACATGAAGCTTTAGATGTTTTATAAAAGCAGTGGAGCTCACAACCAGAAGATACTTACAGATGGATCCGACTGAAATAAGTACGGCCGCCCCTCATTCCAGCCACATATTAGCAGCGATACGCCAAACGGACGAACGCCGCTGCAGGAAAAGAACAACCACACCAAAGAAATCGCAGCTGTGTGACATTTAACCAGCCCATACCAAGGGTGACTAAATTAATTTGTATGTGTTAGCCTTCCCCCAGTCACCTCCCACCAACCCAGAGCTGTGGTCGGGAACGACCAGTCATCCAGCAGTACAGAGCCGCACGTGCGCTGCGTCTGCCATGTTTGTGAGACGTGGAGACCCTGCTGCCAGTCCCGCCTCTTGTAGGCACTCTCCTCTGAAAAACTGCCTTTCTGACACAAAAAGCTCAATCATCAGGTAGCTGTAATTCCTTGAACAACGTAATCTTTCTAAGCAACTTCAAAACTCAGAACACCACGTACCCAGACTGCGTGTATTCCTGCATCACAGACGCAATTCTCTGTACGAGCTGAGCCGTGGGAATGGGCTCGTGGTAAACCAAGTAGTATTGCTGGGCCAGCTTCCGGGCTCTGTGCACCAGTACTCTAAACACAAAGGCAAAATCAGTATGTCCAACACACTCCAACTACTTCTTACCACTAGAACTGAAAAATCCTACCAAATGCTGTGCTAAGGAATTATGTATCTGGTATAACACCAACATAAAGAAACAGATTGTGCTGGGTTATCTTTATCAACTGAGTAGTGTCTGAAATAGCTGAACTGAAACTAAGGTTGAATTACACTGCTCTTCAGCCCCTACTCGTTCCTTAGAGAGAAGGCTGTTTGGAAAGGTATTGAATATATTAAGACAAATTTAAAGAGAATTTCTTATACAGAATACAATCTAGTATTATGCCATACATGTAGAAAGAAACAGCCAACTGCTATCTGTTTCTGTTTCTTATAGTTCTTGCATGAAAATGCATCTAAATGGCAACTAAACAAAATTTTTTAATACCTGTAATCTGGACCCATACCACTGTACACTAAACCTATATGTTTGGTAATTGGTTCTACTTTGTGGACACTCCTTTCATCATAAAGGATGGATTTCTGCTTCTTCTCGGTTGCCAGTACCACTCCATTTGCAGCTGGAAAGGAAAAAGATTTTGCTTCATTTATATTAAACTAAACTTATGGAAAGCAGTTGAAACACAGAACAAGTTTATCAGGCAGTAAAGAGTTTTTCTGCTCCCTTTTAAAAAAACCTTCACATTTACAGCCCTGTTAAACAGAGATGCTTTGATGGGTCCACCCAACCCATCCTTTGTTATCTTAAATACTCATTACAGCTCCCATGACCCCATTCTAAAGATTCTGAAGCACATATTAATTGAGCAATTAAACACACAGCTGCAGTTATTTACTGAATAGACAGGAACACTAAAAAAGAATAAAAATATATATTATGTCTACCAGCTGAGTGCCTCCAAAGTCACCCCTGCAATTTTCCATTCCTAGCATGGAGCTCTGTGCTTCCTTCCTCCTTTATAAAAAATTATTGAGTTGCAGAAAGAAAAAAAGAGGAATATTAAACCCACTAAACCATGTGCAAACCTACTAAAAAAAAAAACCAAAATATGTAACAGAAGGCAAGGTGAAGAAAACCCTGTACACAGTCTGAAGAATTTTAGCTCTCTCAGATGATACCCAGGATCCTGAATCCTTCACTGAAGTCGTTCTTTTCTGAACATACCTTTAATCCCAACTGATGGAGCTCCTGCAGCCACTGCAGCCAAAGCATATTCAATCTGAACAAGCTTTCCAGAAGGACTAAAAAGGAAAATGCAAAAGTAAGCCTGACATAATTCTGATGTGCTCAAATCTTTCCTGTAACGATATGATCTCAACTTACTTTTTTAAGCCTCTTTACACCTGGCATCAGAAAATTCTAATCAGAACTTCAAAATCAAAACAAACAAAACTAAACCAAAAGTCTGAAGATTTATAAGAGCTTCTGAAAGAACTGGAGTGGTTTAGCCCAGAACTTGCTGCTGTGGGCCACTCACCCAGCACCTGCCGACAGCCCTGGTCAGAGCTGGCACGTCTCAGACAGGGAGCAGGGACTGGGAACAGGTGGAAGGAGGACAAGGCCACCCTCCAAATTTTAAGCATTTTAAACCATTTTCCACTCGGTGGGAAAAATGTTTAAAGTGCACCATGGCTTTCTACTGAAAAGGCATTATACTGGTGGTTTGCAAAAGCTTCATGTTGCTGATGTTCACTGCTGAAAGGTACAAGCAAAACACAGCTACTGGTTTTGACTGGGAAGGACATAACAGGTCAGGGGCACAAGCTAGAAACCACTCTTGCTCAACCTCTGGGTACTCCTGCATTTTGTTTTCATGATCCATGTCAGTCTGGTAATGGATGCAGAGTCACTGCAACCAAGCAGCAGGTGTCAGGCTCACCAAGTATCTCCTCCAGAATGAGGGGGATCAAGGGATTCCTTAGGGAAAAGGACAGCACAGAGCCACTCCCTGCACAAGTGAATTTGCAAATGGGATCTATTTTCTCAGCTGTATTTTGGACACTGCTGTTTTAATAGATGCAGAAAATTATGTAACTCAGTGCTTGAAAGATTTAGGGAAAAAACTAACAAAACAAGCACGAATCAGTGTAGTTATGTATACACCAAGTACACAGGGTATAAAGGTGACAAAGTAATAATTACAGCTTCTCCACTACAAAATACTAACAAACCAGAACAACAGTTTCCTACAACAGCAATTAAAATATACAAGACTTCAGCAAGATATTTTAAAAGTAAACAAAAACCTAAAGTAAATAATTCTCAGTAGAAGGAGCAGGTGAATGAGGGGAAACATGAGTAGGGCTATTCTCTTCTGTGCAAGTATAAAATCAAAAGGCTTCAAGCATCAGAGCACGTGGTGCTTCTGTACAGTTCCAAAGTTTGTAACTCCCTTAGGACACCATTTCTAAGAGCTAATAAAGAATTCAACCCACTTGAGTCAAGCAGGCATGTTTGGCTGCATCCACCCATTGCAAAGATTCTCTTCCTAGTTTTAGATGGTGAACTGCTTCACTTGCTTAACTGCAGCAAGCCTTTAGCCAACAGCATTAATCTCCCCTGACATTAAGGGGGCACTTTACAAAAAGCTTAACAAGAATTCTTGCATTCAGATTTTCCTTAGGGTGTAATATAATTCTGGATAGTTTAATAGTTTCAGGGAAAAAAAAAAAGGAAAGCTGTTTCCTTTTTTCTAATTGAAAGTTGTACATTTTGGAGCAGGACTCCAATAGCATACTCATTCTGAGCCTGCAATCATCCCACGTCTAAGCTGCACACAACCCGAAGTGCACGCAGAGCAGTGCCTGCACAGTGCAGCAGGAAGGGGAATACCGATTTAAAACTCATCTGAAGGCTTCTTTCATTCCCACATCTGCAAAGCCTGTTCTGGAGCAAGCTCTGGAGATCCCAGAGCTCAGCTGTCATCAGGCATCTCCAACTAGCTCATAACTGCAGAACTCCTACCCAGCCTGATGCGCGGGTGCGCGTCCGGGGACACTAAGTTCGCAAAACCGTTCCACCAAGCATTCGCT